ACGTATTCTTACGATCACGATCGCTCCTTTCCAAGAACTATGTACTATATATATATATTTTATTTGCTGCAGCTTGTTGGCTGCAGCCACTTGGCAAACTGCCAAACATCTGGTGGCTACCCCTGGTGGTGTTTTTTCCGCGAGTGGACGTGAAATTCGTTTATTTGCTGACAAACGTTTGGGGCTTAGCATTTTGCTATTTGCCATTTGCTACTTGCCACACATTTGGCGCTGCGGGGAGCGCATGCTGCCCCTCGCCGCACCCTGCAACAATGTTTGTCTAACAATAACCGCCACCACAGAGCGGACAGAGATACACTCGGAAAAACTGTTTATTTGCTGAACACTGATTCCACAAAATATACGAATTTCGGACCCCTGTTTTCGCCGAGTGTAGTGGAGAAGGCAACCAGCTGGAGAGTTGTCGGACGAACCGCCTTGCAACAGTTTTCTTTGTTTTCGCTGCTTGCGTTTGGTTTGGTTTACTTTTTGTGTAACAAGTTTGCATATGTAATTAACCAGCAGGCAGTAGTCAGTAGTCAGTGGAGTGCGAGTATTAGTAAATATAATTAAAAACTAAATTGGAATTTGTGTTGAGCAAACACCCACCTCCACCACCTCTGATGCAAGCAGACACCATGGCAACATCCAACCCAATATTCTATCATACAGAGAGCCCGACAGACAAACGACTTGGGCGACAAACTTTCAGCTGTGGCGCCTGAAAAAAGTTCTGGGCTGGGCCGGGCCTGACATTGACCTTGGAGTGGGCTGAGAGCATTATTTTCTAATTAGCAAATGGCCGGAGGAGTCTTGTCTTGTCTGAGCCGCCACCACTTGACAGAGTTCTCAAGTTTGTCTTTGATATTATCGCTCGCGATCTGAGTCGGAAGCTTATTGTTCTCTGTTTTTTTTTCTTCTTTCGATTTTGTCTCCTTTGAAGCTTTTACGGGTATTGTTATGTTTCTTTTATCATTATCTTTTGCGTTGGTTCTGATCACATCGGCCAAGTCCATTAAAAGTGAGTAAATTAAATGAAATTATCTATTTTGTCAAGACCAAAAGAATCACAAGAATAATAATAGTATCGGGTTTACTGAACTGGGCGTGGGGGAATATGATGTCAGCGGTAGGAAATGAGTTATGCCTGGCCGAACATCTGGAAATTTATGGGGTTACTCTCAGGCCTCGTCACTATACTTCTAACCATCCGCCAGGTAATGGCTGTGGGAGTGTCTTCATTTCGGGCGTTTATTACCCTTGATGGAAGATAACTCAAAAATCCGAAATTGATTGAGCCATTGTAGATTGCTTCTCACGGGCTTGTACATCTTTGGGTTGGATTGCTAATTTTAGAATGAAACATAAAGAAATTCTCTACAAGCCACTTGTTCAAGCAGTTCTTTCAGAGGTGCAATGCAAGCAGTGCTTTAAGAACTGCACTGCAAGCAGTGATCAGCTTCTTAAAACTGTTTCAATCGAATCTTCACAAAACTGTAAATGCAGCGGACGACCTTCAGTCAGAAATGAAGAAGCGGTAAAACAAAATACAAAAGTACCCGCGAATGCATGGCGGCGGAGAGCGGCCAGCCGAGAAACTTGATTAAAGTTAAGAAAACAAAAAAAAAAACGTAAAGTTCAACTTGTTTCTGCCGTCATTTGTTGCTCTTTTCCAGTGCTTTTGTTGCTGCTGCACTTCTGTTGATGCTTTTGCGCCACGGCTTGACATTTCGCACAAACAAAAAAAAAAAACGAGCGCTGGCTGGCACTGCAGCATTTCATGCTTTTATTTTCGCAATTGGTTGCAGCAACAATATGTACATCCATCCCCATCCCAATGGGATATAATGAATCTTAAAATGCTCATGCTATTGTCACTGGTATAATTAGCGTGGATGCTCTCAAGCCAGCCCCCAATCGGCCACCAATTACACGCCGAAAGACGCGCGCGATGCGAAATCAGCAGCGGTCTGCGCCTCTGCCACCGACAGCAAGTTTGAAATTCTTAGCTGAAAAAAACCTGTAAATGTCAAACTGTCAGGTAAGCAGTGGAACGTAATTAGGCACAGTGGATGTAAATAACACTACGTTAAACCCGAGAGGATGAAAACAATAGAATATTAAAATATGCCCTACAATATTGGATTATCTCAATGTTTAGTAAGATTGGAGCGGAAACGAGCACTAAATCTAGTTTTGTGTTTAATTTATTCATTTTTAATCACATTTAGATCTACATTTTAAACAGTCAAAATTCTTCAGCTAGAACCAAAACCAATCCCACTGTGCGACCTGAACAGCAGAACACTTACTTGATGGGACCAGGGACCAGTTACCAGTACCAATCGCCGATCGGCAACTGCAAATGGTATTGAACCGAACACACAACGCCCCATTGTCGTGGCTATTTGAGATGTTTCGGGCTGGCAAATGCCAAATGCAGCCGACAGTTTGAGAGGAACTAGCTTAGAGCGGTCCAGGCGGGCGGCAAAGTTGAAACAAATTTTGAAAGCCATTGTCGTTGAGGCCGGCGAGGCATTAACTTTCAATGGGCTTTCAGCCTTTGCCACTGTTTGTCATATTGAGACTTGAACAAAGACTAACAAAGCTACAGCAACAATGTTATAGATTATTGTATTAAAATTTATAGTTTGCGGATAGTCCTCCACATTGCAGTACAGCTCGGAAATTTCCATTTCTTTGGTGGGCACCAGGAAATAAAGGATATAGGGGATAGAGTGAGAGTAATGGGTGCTCGACATCAAACTCGCGGGCTATCCAAAGTGTAACGGCCTTCTGAGGCCATCAGATCAGTGATTCCACTCAGGCAATTATAATAAATTCAAATTACGATCGATAGGCTTATTTATGCGACAACAGCCCGAAGGTGATCGTACGTAATGTAAACTTCTTTCTAGAAATAGGTAAATGTGTCACGACATATAAAAAAATTCAATTGTTTTGATGGTTTTTCGATTTTGGGTCAAGTGCGCATAGAATGCTAATGAGATGGATCTGAAATGGGAAAATATTTAAATAAAAGAAAATTAATTGTATTCACTCACATCAGATCTGCAATGCCCACTTAGACACATGGAACAATAGTGCAGAGTCAACGGCAGAGGAGAGCGAACGATTTGATCTACCTTTTGCGGATTAGAGTTTGTAGGCTTGGGAAATACACAACAACTCTTGCCCAATCGCAGAAGGAAAAACTATATAAATATTTTATCAAGCACAGATAAAGTTAGCTAGTGGCTGGCTTTGGGTGGGAGTGGGATTCGAACTCGGGGTTCTTTTCTTTCAAAATCAAACCGAACACAGAAATACGAAGTGTACGCGAAACTTAGAGGCCAGCGCCACCGAACGAAGCCGTTTAAAGTGTGCTCAATGGCCGCGTGATCTTATGGGCAAGCAGTTTAAGAATGACCGCGCAAGCAGTATTTTACTGTATAATACATGTAAAATACACACGAACTACATGTTCTACCCTCTAAATAAAGAGAAAAATAAGTGGGCCGCGACCTGATAGCTTCTAATTAAACATCTAGCGAGCAACATCTATGGTTGCCTTGGCATAAATATCTTGGTAATACTTTTCGACACATCCCATCCCCAACCAATTAATCAATCCCTAAACTGATCCCAGCTCAACAATTTCGACAGCTTGCAGCGAATGTGGCAGACATGCGACGCCTCGTCGCGTTCTTATATGCGATAATAAACGACCATTATTTGTAGTTAAAAACATTTTAGAAAAAAACAAGGTGTGAAGCCCAAGAGTGCGCCCCAGCAGCAACCCGATCATTTCGGTGTAGGCGTTGTCGTTGCCCCACTCCCCATCTCTTGCATAAATTTGTCTGATAAAATTTTCAATGAGCCGCTGACGCTGGAGCGGCTGCAATTTCGTTTGAAATATTGCGGCCATATGATATTTCAATTTTCAATTAGTGACTCCAAAATCTGTCGACACGCGGGCCGACGAGCACCGAAGACAGGGGGGCGGAAAAGACCAAAAACTTTGCGTGGTTTCAAATGAATTTGCTTGTTATTTTGTTGCTGTTGTTATAAGGCCCAACATTGTGGGTCAAAGAGTCAGGATTGTGACGCATGCAACGTCGCGTCGGCTGCAGCTTTCAGCTTTGGGTGAAACTCCATTGCGACCCGTGGCTCCCCTCTCCTTCCTTTCGTTGCAGTACGAGTATTTCGCCAGACCAGAGATACCCCCAGAGATACACAAAGCGAAATGAAGTTAATGTCCGCTTTCAGCCTGTTACACTTTCGTTTTTCAATCATTTATAATCCTGTAAAAACAGCAGAGATTGGCATAAAAGAAGACAGAAGATGTTGCAAAAAGAAGACTTGAAAAATGGCACAAACTTGTGCACCCCCGAAATTGGGCACTTTTAGAGGTATTATTAGCATAAATACCCATCTATTTTTTGAAATATAATATGAGTAAAATAAACTGTTATTACTATTCATAGTATGATGAATATTTGTTGGAGCTGTTGCCGCAATAGTCGACGAACTGTGGTGAAGTTACCACCAATAGCTGTCTGATCTTTAAAGCAGAAGCAAGAAATCTCACCTATGGGCAGAAACCGTCCCAACATTCATCATCCAATGGAACCCCCCTTTTCCCGTTCACTTTTGCTCGACAAATGCGTGCCAAAAGAGAGGCAACTTATTTTTTTGCCATGCTGTGACAAATGTGTGACCCAAAAAGTGGGAAATAATTTATTTATTTGTTTGCCAGCCAGAGGCTTTACCTTATTTTATTTATTTATTTATTTATTACACTTTTCGCACAATTAACTGCAATGATTTTTTGGTTTTTGAGAGCACTGTTTCATGGCTAAACGATGCCAAAGGCGCTGAAAGGTGTCAAGAGGAGAGTACTTGTGCGTGTGCTTGAACATTTAATTAATTAATTGATTGCTGACACTTTGGTCTGGCCCTAAAAACAATTAACTCCAATATGACCTTCGTCTTTGCAGATACTTCCAGCTATTATTTCCCATCACAAAACCGATTTGTGCCATCTTCTGGTGCCTTTCCCCGACAGCAGCAGCAGTCGCTGGGTAACTTCCGCGGCAGCTCCGGAGGATTCTCCCCAGCTCCGGGCTCCTACCAGGAGCAGCTCCTATTCATAGCCAATGAGAATGGCGCCAAACAGGTGCCGGCCGCTGCTGGCAGTTCGCCTTTCGGATCGCCATTTGGCGGCACCCCACAGTTTGCGGTAAGTTTTTGCTACAAAATTCCAATTCAAATTCAATTTTGTTCGTAGTTTACTATGCATTTCCTTATGTGGTGCTGTGCCCGTAAGTGGGGAGAGGGTGGTACCAATTATGTTGGCTTCTCGTCGGCTCCAGGCACGCCAATACCAACGCCGAGCCAAAAACGAAATCAAATCAAACCGAATTCGAGTCCGAAAATCAAAGGTTTGGTTTCCTTTCACATGCCAGAAACGTGTGAAATATGATTTATTTATTGGATGGATTTCTTTTGCAATCCAGACGAGAATGCAACTGGAGATGGGAAACGGTTGCAGGCAGGATATGGGATATGGGATATCGATGGCACGCGACTTTCGTCTTGCAATTTCCGTAGTCGAAACGCAGCCCAGGGGCATCCAAATAAACACTCAAATCAAACTGCGGACATAAAATAGTTGCGTGAGAGAAATGGCGGTGGCCATCGCACCCCCAGGCGTTCGTACGCGTACTTTCACTTGACCAAAGACAAACAAAGCGAATCGGCTTCTGCATATCAACGAATCAGCAAGTAATTCCCGACTATTGTTGAATATTCAAAGCTTCGAATGCACTGCAGAGTGGTGGAGTGGAGGTGGAGTGGCGATGGAGGATGGTAGGAGGGGAGCGTGCAGCGTGTTTCTTAATTGAAAAAAGTGTAAATTCATATTGTTTATTACCAGCTTCTTCAAATGCCGATGAGCACGCACATTGCCGTCTGCTTCCAGTTTTGGCCCTAAATTGAAATGCACTCCGTGAGGGCCCAGAGTGGCAGAATGCAGGAGGGAGGGCGGCAGGCTGTGCACAGCAAGAGGTCTGTGCTGCGGACAAACTGGAGCTCCACTGATTTGCCTAATGGAACTGACTTCTTTATGGCTTGCTGCTTGGCGTGGCCCAGACAAAAACTCAATTAACTTGGCCCTCGGTCAGATGCAGTGTCTTGATTGTAGGCCTCTGGCACCGAGATAGCTGATAGTTGATGAATGAAGACAGGCCGAAGAAGTTGCAGCAGATGCATAGTGCTCCTGGATAGATTCTTGCTTAGATGGCACTTCATTTGTTTCGATTATCATCAGCGCATAATGGAAAACTCTGATTCATTCGAATGACTGAATGGCTGATTGGCCCCCGCCTCACTGTTGGTCCAAGGGGAAAGTCCAGTGCAATAAACCCAAACCCCTCGTCTTCTTCGTCGGCCATATGCTTTCCACATACCCATCTTACCACTCGTACGTGAGCGGAGCTTTCATAGTTTCATTATGCTATCCATATTGACAAATGTCTTAGAAAATTTGTGTGCTTTTAATTTCCCCTGTCGTCCAACGACTGACGACTGGCGATCGCTTTCTTCTTTACCATTAACCATTAGACATTAACCATCTACCACAAAGCACACACCATAGACACCACACGGCTAATGCAGCTCCAGCAGACTAACTGTTGACAATGGAAGAGTGAAATTTTTGATCCGAGATCATTTGCAGAGTAGCGAACGGATCCCACACTCCCCTCCTCACAGGCGAGAAGGTGTCGGATGGCGCTGGGACTGTCTGTTAATCAGAGTAGGTCCAACGATGCCGCATTTCCCCAGTCGCTGTCTCTATCTCTGCCTGTGGGCTGGGGAGAAAATCTTTGGCCCACAAATTGCTGCCAGCCATCGGTGGAGGCGGAGAGCTCTGGTGCGTAAACGGCTCCGCCAAGAAGCGGAAAAATAAATGCATTGAAATGCGCCTTTTAGCAACAAAACTCGCGTTTTGTATGCAATTTGCTTAACAGAGCACAACTTCAGCTTCAGAAACCTCTCCCAGCCAATGCAGCCCCAACTTCAGCTCGGAGCTGGGGCTTTCAGACTTTCAAAAAAAACCAAATCCACATCCAAACAATACTAATAAGTAATAATGGATAACAACGAGAGCAGCAAGTACTTTGGGGCGAAACTGGCATGGTATGCGACTGGGACTGGATAATTAGTGAGTCGTTGAATATCGGAACGACCTTGATACACTTTCAATCAAATATTTCCAATCGATTTTCATTGTTTGCTGCCGCTTTCGACGTCGATTTCATTTCCAAAATCTGTCCAAAGCGCTTCGGCATTGTCTGCAGCACGTTGAGCAGGGGAGCGAGCCCTCCACAGTCCGATCATTCGAGTGCCAGACATGGTCAAGCCAAGATTTCCAACATTGTCAACTTGAGGTGCTGCAGAGTCGCAGCTCAGGTCGAGCTTATGGTAGTTCTGTCACTTTAGCGGACACTGGGACCGAGAGTATCAATCTAAGACCTCACCTCTATCAAAGTCCAACCTGTGTCAGCTTACGTTACTCTCCGGATCAATTTTGTAAGAGTACATAGATTATAGATCGCTTAAAATGTTAGACACACATTTGACTCTTTCTAGAAACGAAGCTGATTCATAAATGAATGGGTCATTGTAAATTCCATACAAGAATGCAAATCAGATAAAAGAGGGAAGAATACCTACAAAAAAGAAGTCCCCAGTATCCAGTTATTCAAATTAATTTAAAGATTGCGGGGGTCTTCCTCTAAATAAAGAAATGAAAGCTCTCTCGAGCAAGGAGGGAGAGAGAGAGAGGAACTCATTCTCCTTGCAGTTTTTATCAACTATTTGTATCATTCGACAAAATGCCAACTAACTAATTTACTGACTAGCTTTGCCTCAGCATTAACCCAACACAATGTTTTTCCCCAGAAATCGCCAGCGAATCGCCAGTCGGACTATTACGATATCTCGCCACGCCCCTTCGGAGTGCCCGCCGGGGCGGCAGCAGTGGCAGGCGGCGTTGGTGCAACGTCCGCGTCGTCGTCCACGGGACTGACCAACGGCTTCACACGCTCCAAGGCGATACGCAACGGCAGCGGCGGCTCAGGGAACAGCCTGAGCGGCGGCTTCCAGCCCCAGACGCAGCGCATCAATGTGCCCCACCAGCAGACGCAGTTTCTGGCCCACTTCAGTGAGGTAAGGAGACCGGAGGAGAAGGGAAAGCGAATAGAGAAGTGGATCGCATCGGGAAAGTAAAAGCAATTTCAATTGGAATAACAAGAAACACAGAAACCCAAACAGAAACAGAAAACAGAAACAATTTCGTTTTTGGCATTGCATAAGAGCTAACAAAACAATTGGCTCTGCTCTGATTTTGGCCAATATCAGGCTTCGACTCGGCTCGGCTCGGTGTCGGAGCTGGAGTTGGAATGGCTGGAAGCCATTTCTGCTCTTACGTGACTTCCAACCGCTAAATGCTTTGGGGCAGGCCGAAAAAAGAGACTTCAGAACCAGTTCGTTTCGGCACGGGTCGGGTCGGGTCTCTTTTTGCCTAGATTTCAACAATATTGTATACGGCTAAAAACCACAAAAAAGTTCAATCGAATTATAGCAAAAATATATTTTTTACCTTTCACCTACCCGAACAACATTACATTCCACGATCCCCCACTAATGTTTTTGGCAAAAGCAAACCACAGAAATGTTTATCAAGGGGGCTCTTCGACAGTTTTGTTTTGTTTGTTTATATGTTTTGAAGATGTTTCTGTTTACTCAATAAATATTTACACTTTTGAGAGGGTATACCCGTACTATTGCAGTATACGACTGCTTATACCACATCCGTCCACCTGTTGTGGACCAGAGGTAACCAGTTTCGTAGCTTTCAAGAGTGCATGTGATCTCTACAAACAGAGCCTGAGCTGCAGTCACAGCCACAAGTACAGGATCTCTAAGATATAGAACGGAAGCATGTCCTTTCATTCTTCAGAAAAACCCCTGCCTTTCTACTTTAATAGCATTCATACATTTCAGTCTTTAAGGGTAATCTATAGAGCTGTCTTCCCATCCCATCTCATTTCGTAATTTTTTCATTTACTTTAAAAATCTTCAAACATTTTGTAATTGAAATGTCAAAGTGGGGGAAAAGATCTCTGCCTGCCCCCATCATTGTTCCGCCGCTCTCTTTCTCTTCGTGTTTTTTCTTTGCCCCCACATAAATTTCTCAGCTTAATTGCCGCAATTTGTTTGGGGCCATTCGAGCGAAAGTGTTGCCGTGATTAATGCTGGCTCAAATATCAAATCAGCTCACGATTAAGCGACAATAATGGCACTGCCAGTGGGCGCCCGATCTGTCATTAGTGGAAATGAATTGGCTGAAGACTCAATCATGATTAATCTGTGAATGTTCATCCTCTGCATTCTCATTCTTCATGGGACCCACATCGGGCCATTCTCCATCGGGGGAACCCAGTTTTGGATTCAATCATCTGCGAGGCAATATATTGGGCAACCTGCGGAGAGGAAACCGTCGGAAAAGTCCCCAGTCGGAACCCCAGAGCTGCAGACAGTTGGAGGTGGAGGTTGCCTTCACATAAAAATTAAATAAATACGAGCGCATAAATTATGGACAGCTCCAGGGGATGGAGGGGCAAATTTGCACAAAACACTTTAGACAAATTTTGGAGAATCAGTTGAATGGCTCGGATGAGGGCTAGGGGCAGTGGCAAGCGGCAAGCGGCAGGGGGCAGGGGGCTGCACCTGAGAAGAGTTCGCACGCAAAACAATTGACAGACGAACCGCAGCGCTGCGCAGAGATTGTGATGTTTCGTGTCCATGTCGAAACTGTAACAGTTTCCCATGACGACAACCGCAAGAGTCGAGGCTGTGAACGGTCTGGCCTGGTCTGGCCTGGTCTGGGCTGCTCCGTAATCCGTAACAATGCACTAGAGTTACCTCCGCGAATCTGCAATCCGTAGCTAACCTCCGCTCATCTCTGCATCTCCATCTCTCTCTTTGCAGAACGACAAGCGTCCGACGTCCAGCAATGCAGTCAGTCGTCCCTTTGGCAACGGCGGTGGGTTCTCGCCCACACGCACGCGCACACAGTCTCAGGCAACAGTCTCGTCCGTTTCCGAGTCTCCGGCCACCCCAGCGCCAAGTCCGTACAGGCCACGCAATCGCTACCAGCCCGGCAGCTCCACAGCCCCAACCACATCCACGACGGACGGCAGTGCGGAGGTGAGCAGCAAGCGGTACAATCGCTTTGGCAGCAACCGCTCCAAGGCGACGTCTTCGACCACGACCACGCAGAACACACCCGCGGATCGGCCCAGCTTTGGACGCAAGTCGCCCAATCCCCGGCGGCCTGTGTTCATCAGTCGAGAGGTCAACGAGCCGCTGGCCGCGACCAGCAAGCGCCCCTTCAACTACAACAGCGCCAGCAGGCTGAAGCTGACACGCCCCACGGCCCGCACGACCAGCACCACTGAGAGCGCAGAGCAGGAGGAAGAGGATGAGGAGCAGGAGCTGGAAGAAGAGGTAGACAGCGGAGAGCAGTACGAGCAGGGGTCTGGGGAACGGCCAGAAGATCACTCGGAGTCATCCAGTTTGGAGAAGCTGCCGCTCCAGGAGGAGGGACAGGGAACCCCAGTGATAGTCGCCCAGAACGAAGCTGCCATCCCCGAGACGGTAACCCAAAATGAGGAGGATGCGGATCCGTCCAGCACCAGCAGCACCGAAGAGTCTCAGACCGATTCGTCGGAGACCACAAGCTCCGGTGAGGGTACCACCACCCTGCCCGCCAGCAATGACTATGAGTACGCAGAGGATGAGGAAAAGGAGAAGGCTACCACACCAATGCCCCTGGAGAGTGAATCCACCGAAGAGATTCTGGTGGAGGGCACCACGGAACTGCCAGTGCCAGAGAGCATTCCCAAGCAGGAGCAGGATCCTGTCATTCCGAGTCAGGCAGAAGCAGCCACTCCTAAGCAGGAGGATCCTCATTCTCCCACCCCCAATGATAAGGCCAAGGAGACGTCATCCAAGCAGGAGGAAGAATCCGAGTCATCCGATTACGATGACGAAGAGGGTCTCGGCGAGGGCGAGGAGTACGAGTACGAGGATGAGGAAACAGGCGAGGCAGAACCCGAAGATTCCACCAGTGAGACAGAAACGCAGCACTCCAGCTCCAGCTCTAGGCCAACGACCAGCAGCGAGCACGAGGAAGAACGCGAGGTCATCTCCGTGGTGACCACCAAGAGCGTGGTCAATGGCTCAACAGTGCTTCCGGCCCCGGTAACGCCGAGTATACCCACGGATGAGGGCAAGCCAGAAGAGGTCCAGACAGAGGAGGAGGTCACAGATCCAGATCTTCAAAAGGAAAACCTGCCCGCGAGCGGGGACACTGCCAATGCCACCGAGAACTATGTCGTAGTGGCATCGATACAGCCAAGCCGGAGCATCAACGGAGCCCGCTTTCTGCCCTTCCCGGCCATCGAGCAGGAGGAGACCAAGCAGACGCTCTCCGAGCTAGAGCGCAAGGTGCACTCCAAGCAGCAGCAGCAGCAGCCCCCACAGAAGCAGCCCGAGAGCAGCGAGGAGCCGAGCACTTCCACCTCGTCCACATCCACAGCCCCGCCACTGGCCGCCTCCACAGAGAGCATCATCGATAAACTGGACCGCGTTCAGTCGGAGCTGTCCAGCGGCCTGCTGTCCGGAAAGTATCCGATCATCAGCCAAATGGATTCCTCCACACCGGCCACGAGCACCACGCTGGGATCCGGATCCGGATCAGGTCGATTTGCGCCGCACATCAGGAAGTTCCAGCCAAAGACCACGCCGGCTCCGAGCACCACGAGCAGTGGCAGCAGTCGGGTCAAGGTGCAGCACTTTGACGAGAGCGAAATGGATGAGCTGGCCGGCCTCCTGCCCGTCGGATTCAAGCCGAAGTCGAGCTACAAGAACCGGAAGATCACAACCACCACGTCCACGACAGAAGCGCCCGCCGTGGAGCCGCCTAGGAAGCCAGGACGCAACAGCACCATCAGTCGGTCCTTCAAGAACGGTCAGGTCACAGTACAGGATGTGGCGTTGGCGGGTCTGCTGCCCAAGGGCTACAAGCCACCCAGGACAACAGCTAAAACCACCAGCACGACAACGACGACGACCAGTCCGGACGAGGGCAGCAGCAGCTCCAGTCTGGAGAGTCTCTTCAGTGGCGTCAAGTTCGAGGACAGCCTGGCCGCCCTCCTGCCCAAGGACTATAAAGTAAGCGGCACCCCGCGACCCGCCTTCACGACTGTGGACGACATCTCCAAGTTCCTGCCACCCGGCTTCAAGCTGAACAGCACCACCGTTGCGACGACCACGCCTCGATCCCATCCCGTGGCCGTGCCTTTCGATGATCTGAGCAAGTTCTTGCCTCCTGGCTACAAAGCGCCCGCCAAAGAGAAGGCCGACGCCGTCCCCAAGCTGCCCGAAGGCGTGAAACCCATCAAAATAGAGGATCTGAGCGCTCTCCTACCGCCTGGCTTCAAGCTGAACGAGACCGCCAAGGCGGACACTTCGAGCGACGAGGATCTGCTGGCCTCTCTGCTGCCCCCGGGATTCAAGTCACCGAAGGTACATCCAGCCTCCACCTCCACTACGACAAATAAGCCCAAGGCGGTGGCGTCAAGCACCACTGAAGCGCCAGCAAGCGAAGGAAGCGGCCTAAAGGTAGTCTTCCCAAAAGGCTTTCATAAGCGACTTGGATCGCATCGCCTGACCACGCCGCACCCCGGAAATGATGGCCAGGCTGATGCAGTCACGCCCTCATCGGACGGAACCCCGCCGGTGGTCATCAAAAAGGGTCCACCCACGCGAGCCACCACGGAGTTCACCGGCTGGCCCACACCGCCCACCACCCCGCTGTCCATCGAGAAGCTGAATGCCCAGACAATCAACTTTGAGGATCTGCTAACGCCCAGCGCGAGCAGCAGCACCACCAGCACCAGCACCTCGACAACGAGCACCACGACAACGACAACGCCGCGCCCGACAAAGCCGGGACACTGCACGGCCGACTGCGATCTGGCGGCCACCATCAAGATCATCGACGGCGTGGCCTGGAAACCCGAGCTCCTGGATCACAACACGCTCGAGTGGAAGAATCTGGCCCACGAGCTGGAGGCGCAGGTAGGCGTCGCCCTCCGTTCTTTGCCTTCATCTGTTGAATGCTTACTGCTCGTTCCTCTCCTTTCAGCTAAATGAAGTGTACTCCAGCGCCGATCAGCTGAACAAGTGGTACAAGAAGGTGCGCATCGATAGCTTCAGCAAGGGCAGTGTGCTGGTCGACTACTACGTGGAGCTGGCCAACATAACGGAGGACGTGGACACGCAGGAGATCCGGCAGCTGTTCCACGATGCGCTAACCAAACCTGTGGCACCTGCCCTGCCCGACAAAGATGCCGAGGAGAATGAGACGGACAGCGTGTCCGGGCCGCAGGAGGAGCAACTAGTCACGGCCAGCTATCAGATGGGCAAATACATCATTGATCCGGTGGCCACCGATTTTAGTGGTGAGTAGTTGGACATCGTAGCTCTTTGAACGCAGGCCAATCCTTTCCGTTTCCCTGCAGTCATAGCCAAGAACTTGAACACAAATGTGGAGTTTGCAGAGGAGGATCTGCTCATTCCCCAATGGGCCATAGTCGTGATTGTGATTGGAGTTGGTTCCCTGGTCTTTGTCATCATCTTTGGCGTCACAGTGGTAAGTCGCACGTTGATTGTTCTGGGCTCCACTGAACCCATGCCATGCCCATTTTCAGCTGCTCAATCGTCAGAAGAGGGCCAAGAAGACGCCGATTCCCTTGACCAATGACATGCTGAACGAACTGAAGGTCAACCACATGGGTGGTGCGGACAACTACGGTGTGGATGACTTCTACAACATTGATGATCCCTGGAACGATACCAAGCAGCCGATAAAGCCGAAAGTAAGTCGAGTGCCGTGCTCTATTTCTACCACCCATTCTTATACTTTCAATCCTTTGCAGCGCTTTACCAATTCGATGCATGGCAGTAATAGCTCCAACATCTACGACAGCTGGCGCTCCACCCGTCATCCGCACAGCAATGCCGACTATTTCTATGACCAGCAGCCGACGTACTCGCAGAAGGGTGACTCCCTGAAGCGGCCGCATCATGGCCACCAGTATCCCGCCCATCAGCAGCAACAGCACCAGCAGCATCCGCAACAGCATCAGCAGGCATATGGCCACCAATATCCGGATGCCTTTGCCGATGCCCACCAGATGTACAGCTATAACAATCATGCGAGTCGGACGCGCTATTCGCGCGACTACGATCCCGATTTCTAGTTAAGCCACCGACTACACTACACTACACTACACTGCCCATCCACGCACTAGCTTTAGTAACTTGCGAACGATTTTGTGTTGTGTTGTGTTGTAACTTAATAGCCTAAAGTATCATAGTACTTACATATAATGCTGCTACTACATACTCGTATTTATCGTACAGTACTGCAGTACAGTCTGCTGGCTTGGCTCAAAAGTCGTCCCGCTTTTCTGTACCCACAGCCAGAGGTACGGTATTCTAAATGGAGCTGCTATATCTGGATGCGATGTACTGCTTCAAAGCTATTTTAGATGATACAGAATAGAACTTGGGGTCGTATCCCCGGAAAATAAATAGTCATGCACTCTTAGTTAATCCTAGCTCGTAACTGAATAGTAGACGTACATATGTATTTAGTACATAAACTAAATATATTTTCTATAGATTGTATTATTTAATATACTACGGCGGATTGCTACTAATAATGTCTAAATTTAGACAATTAAATAAATCTTAAAGAGTATTCATTGAGCCCTGAACAGTGGCGGAAAATACAATTTGCAGCAGAAGAAAAAATAAAAAATAGAATTGCCGAAACCCGGGATTGAACCGGGGACCTTTAGATCTTCAGTCTAACGCTCTCCCAACTGAGCTATTTCGGCGGATGTTCATGGAAAGACCAATGTTCTTGTGAAAATAAGCAGATTGGTTTCTAGTTTAAGCAGTTTTGCAGCACTGCTTTAGAACAAGCTTAATTTCTCCTGGTTCAAAAAAATACTACGAAATGCTTGCGAAAATGTTTTGCTAGCATTTAATTTGCCAAAATTTAATACATATATGGAAAATAGTAAAAGAAAAGAATTAAATTTATTTTTTCTTAAAAGAAAAAAATAAGTATTTGCCGAAACCCGGGATTGAACCGGGGACCTTTAGATCTTCAGTCTAACGCTCTCCCAACTGAGCTATTTCGGCACATGCCAGAGCTTTGCCAAATGACCAATTTCTGATTGGCCAATTCTGCAAGGGTTTCAAAAATATAAATATGCATTAATGAACACAAAATACATAAAAAAGATTTCATTGCCGAAACCCGGGATTGAACCGGGGACCTTTAGATCTTCAGTCTAACGCTCTCCCAACTGAGCTATTTCGGCATCTGCTCAATGTGCGACTAAAGTTGGCTTTTGTCAACCCACGCATTAAGGGGCTTACAGATCTTTTCCCGTTGAGTTCTTGAATATTCAGTCACACTTCGTTTGAATGAAAATACATGGTTTATAAGGCTCATTTATTTATTAACTTAATCCCTTTTGGTTATCGGATCAAAGTCCTTGTCAATGTTTGCAGGGTTTCGGTTTCTGCTTCAGAATTCTTAGTGGTTCACATCCTAGAGCTCGCTAAAGCTAAAAGTTAACGATCGATTTGTGTTGTATCTTGTTTAGGGCTAAGTTCTATATAAATCAATAGAGTTTTCACATATGCAATACACATTTCGGGCTGTATGGTGGGCTCGGGAATGGGGGTGGGGAGGCTATGGGGCGGGGGCTCTTAAATAACTACCAATTGTTGTTTCGCTTCAATTAAAGATTAAAGACAGTTAAAAATTTTCACTAATATCACCTTCTAGAAATTTGTCCAATTCGTTGCGATTAAAAATTGATGTAAATATGTGTGTATATGTAATACATATTATGTATGCGATTTGATCCGTAATTGTTTTGATTTTGGCATGAATGGCGAACCGAACCGGGCGAAACAAAAGGTCAACGAAATGGTAATGGAAATCAAAAGCAATACAAAATATAATTTAATTTAAATAATTTGCATTTATTTAAAAAATAATTAATTTACGAGTTGAGTAATTTTTCAAGTTTTTTGATTTGCCATCGTATTGTGTTGTGAATTCTTATTAAATAATAATGCGTGTGAGTCGATGAGTGTATGTGTGGTGTGGGGTGGAGTGTGGTGTGGTGTGGTGTGGTGTGTATATTTAAGGACAATTTAAACAATAATTAAAAACTTAGCAGTGAATTCTCGATTGGTTTTTATAAATGTACAAAATGTAATTAATAAACATCAAAAACTATATATTTTAAACTAAACAAAAGCACAGAGAATTGCCGGTCCAATGCCTACAATTAATTAAAATTTGTTTTTAATGCCTAATTATCAACTATGATATATGTATAATCAATGTATATTTGTATGTATGTATAATTGGTTTCGTAATATTTTAAACTACAATTTATAACATGCGCCACGACGTAAACGAACAAAGGCCCTGGGTTGGGGGAAGATGGATGCCAATAATGGACAGACGATAGAAATACAGATGTATATATAATATATAAACGCTTTATGGGAGGGAGGTGTGTGTGTGGATGTATATATATTATGTATATATTTATATATATAAATGTATATGTGTATATGCACTTGGTAACTATGTATAAGATGAGAGTCCGTACATACTCGCTAAATAATTGATTTTCAACTGCAAAAAGCGCAGCGCACACACGATTGAACAGCAACAAACAAATTATATAGAAACAAAAGGTATGTGGAATCAGCAGGGATCAGGGTCCCTAGAATTTTGATATAAGCGTCGCGTTCTCCTCGCATGCGCCTTTTTGTATATGTATATGTTGGTGTATATTTATTTATAGGTGCCTATGTATTTGCATATGCGTGGGTGTGGGTGTGTGGGGGATTTTATCTCTGGATTCTATCGATCGCTTGGTCCCTACTCCACGGCAAAGCCACAGGTCTCCTCCACCGCTTGGGTCAGCTTATCGCAGAGCAGCTGATAGTTCTCGTAAGGCGGCAGATCGATCCGATTGAAGCAGGTGTGCGCCTTGGGCAGGTTCTGTGTGGGAACATCGACGGTGAGGTGGATGGTGAACAGACGTGGCCCCACCGCACCCGTGGATCCTTGCAGTGCACGGAATCCCTGCAACGGCACCCGCGACGACCCCGTCACAAACTGCAGCAGACGTGCTCGCATCTCAGAGCTGTACGACTCGACCACCTGCATAAAATAAATTATTATTTACCAATCTATAAATATAAAATAAGGACGGTGTCCTTTCGCACCTGCCAGAACCACAGAACTTGCGTCGTCTCGTTCGTACAGTGCTTCAGTCTCGTATTGTTGCGCCAATCGTTGACATCGATGCTCGAGATGCCGCCAATGACCAATTCCAGTTCCCGCTCATCAAACGGTCGCAGCAGATGGTTGGGTATCAGCTCACAGAAGCCTGCAAGAAGAGGATTCATTTGGGTATTGATATCAATCTGAGATTTACAATCAGATGATGTACAGACCTTTCTGCAGAGCCAGAAACTGCTGTTCGATACCGCGCATGAAGCGATAGTTCACATAGAGCTTAACGTACTCGCGCTTGTTCTCCTCCGTGACGGGTATGGCGGCGCCGCCAGGCTTCAGTTCGTGCACCACCAGAGCCCCAAAGCTATTGTTCTCCACGCTGAATGTCGACTCGATGATGCCGCTAATGTTGCTCTCCCTGCAAAACAAATAAAGATACACAGGCTTAAAATGTGCCGAGGTAGAATGAAGACTGATCCACTTACAGCATCCAGGTGAGGCTGCGGTGGAGCTCGGGATCGACGCCCTCGATGTCGCCCAGCGTGATGGGTTTGTTCAGCAGCTGCTTGTAGAAGGGCGTGGTGAAGCCCCCGTCGAGGCAGTGGCCGTGGAACACGGCTATGCCCAGGGTGCGGCCCACAAAGTGAAAGTAGGAGAGATGGTCCGGATTCACGCCCGAATCGGGATTGATCTGCAGCGTGTAGTGGTCGTCGCGACTGTACTGAAACAGGCCGTACTGCGGATTGAGCATCTCGCGGGAGAGCAGATGCAGCCACTCGCGGGCCACACCGCCATAGTCCAAACCCTCCTCACCCTTGAACTTGACCATCAAACGCTTGCGCATGTCCTTGGCCCGCATCTTCATTATCAGTCTATAGCTCTCCTCGAAAATCTCGTTGCGCGACACCTCTAGCCGGCAGTGGCCGGACTGCGGCTGCATCGTTTGCAGCTCGGTGCGCAGGGCGCGTAGTTTTCCGACCAGATCCCGGCGGTACTTTGGCAGCAAGTCGGCCCCCTCGAGCAGGCCCTGCGGCAGCCCTTCCGGACATATGCGATGCGGGGTGTTCGTTATAGTTGTCGCTGTCGTGTTTGCTGCCGTGGAACCTGCTGCTGCTGCTGTTGGTGGTGGGGCAGGTGCAGGGCCAGGTGCAGCTGGCTGATTGGATGTAGAAGTGGGATTGGGCGCGGACGCGGAAGCCGCCGACGCCGCTGCTGCTGTCGTGGGTGGTGTGGCAGCGCCAGGAGCTGCTGATCCAGTCGGCGGCACAGGTCCCCGGCGAATCAGCTGCAGCAGACTCCCACTGAGACGCGGATCCGTGAACTGTGTCGTGCGGTTGTTGTGGTCCACAAAATAGACGCGTCCGGAGGCCGTTTTCCTCTGCTCCCAGCCACTGGGCAAAGGACCGATAGAGTCCAGCGGCAGATGCTGGGTGTCAAAGTCCCGCGGTATCCGCGGATCGTGCCACGTGGACACACCCGTGGGTATGTGATAGAAGTACACCTGGCCCTGTTGCGTGGTCCGCATCTCGTAGCCGGAGGGCAGGTCCAGAAAGGGACGCGCCGCCTGATTGGCCGCTGCAATGGCGGCCGATGCTAATCTCTGTCCAGATCCTCCCCCTCCCCCTCCTGCACTGCCTCCGTGGCGGGTACCGCGTGAGGAGCGACGCCGCGTGGAGGGCTCATCGCCCCCCTGCTGCCGAGAGCTGCGACGCTGTGAACGCTGGCCCGGAGTCGCCGCAGTGTACGATCTGCCGCCTCCTGGCTGGCTGTTTGCATTCGGACTGTGTACAGTGTTTCCATTGGCAGCGGGCGTAGCTGCTGCTGGGGATGTGGCAGCATTCGTTGCGGGCGGACTCTGACTCTGGCTCTGATTGTGCCTGGGTGGCGTCGTTGTCCTTGTCGTTGAGTTCGCTGTCGCTGTCGTTGCTGATGACTCCTCCTGGGTCCAGCCATTGCTGGCACTTTGTGGCTGGGCCGCTTGGAAGCTGCCATTCCCACTCCCTGTCCCACTTTGAGCATTCCCATTCACATAGTTCTGCTGACCCGTTGGCGATGTGGACGTGCCCTCGCCGGGAGCATGGGATCCATGGCCGTGGCCATTCGTTTGATGCTTTGGCGTTTTCACATGATTCACGTGATTGTCGTTGTTGCTGTGGAGGCGACCCGTCGCCGTCGTTGTCGTCGTCGTGCTGCTGGTGGGCGTGGCCGGTTCGTTGCCGCAGCGCGTCTCCAAGGTGCGACCGCCGGACGGGGTCGTGGAGGAGGACTTTTTGCCAGGTGTGGTCACGGCCATTGAGGCCATTGGCGTCGTGGGGCTGGTGTTTTCCTTGCCCACACTGGACAGGATCTCCGTGGAGTGGCGTCGCTCGTCCGACCCCGTCCCAGCCGCCTCTCGATTGCGATTGCCGCCATTCAGCAGATTGGTGCAGGTCGTGGAGCGTGTGGGACCCGCCGGCGCCTGCCTATCCCCGTGGCCGTGGCTGTTGTTGCCATTGTGGTGGCGCTGTTGCGGTGATGTGCCGCCGCCGCCCGGCAGCCTGGGTCGGTCCCATTGGGTGGATTTGGTGGCGTGGTTCACATAGTAGATCCGTCCGTTGTCCGTGCGCCGCTCCTCCCAGCCTTCGGGCAGACTGTCCTCCGAAGAATCATCCTCGGAGGGTCCCCGCACATCGCCGCTGGGGCCGACAATGGCCAGGGGATTGCCGCTGCTAGGGCCATCCTTCGACAGCAGCGATATAATGATCTGTCCACGCACCAGCTCATCGTCGTCCGGCGATAGTTTGCCCAAATCCAAGCGTTGAACTGAAAGTGCAATGAATTATCGTCAGCAAGAACGAAGAGAGTGACGGAGGGGGATACTTACATCCTGCCCCTTTGAGGCTTTGAATGGTGAAGGCGGGTATCCTCACGCAGCCCAGGAAGCCGCTGCCTTTGTGTATCTTTCGCTGATTCCACACGGTTATGGTGATTGCATCGGCCAGGCCCAGGAACAGATCGTAGTGCGCATTCCATTTGGGGTCGAGCGAGGATTTGCTTATCTCTGTCGAGTACACCTGACCAGTGCCATCCACCTGGACTTTGGCGAAGGGATCGGGGAGGCCTGCAAACACCAAACAATTGAAAGGGGAAATGGAAACGATTAGCCAACGATTCTACCATTCTACATTGTCAACAATGATGATACGATTGCGTGCCTTAGATCTGCATGGGAATGGGAATCCATTTAGCACTATTAACCACATATCACCCCATAAATGGCTTATATTTGGATTCATATCTGGGTAATATATCTGATCTTTTTAGTTAGTTTTCAACATGCATCGCTTCCAGTTTGTGGGGTTTCTTCTGCTGCTGCTACTGCTGCAGGGATACATGTACTCCCATAGACATCCTGGCTTCACACAGCGTCTGCAGATCAACCCACTCTGCCTGGAACTCCAGCAGAGGACAACGCCAGCATCAGGAGCAGCAGAAATAATCTTCTCCCCCTTGGAGGAGGACACCACAGAGGCAGATTAATCGCGTGGGGGGGAGCAGCAGAAGCAGTAAAAGTTCCCCTTGTGATTGTGAGGTTCCCAGCGGTTCCAGGCCAGGGGTTATCTCTCTCGAATAGGGGGCCATCCCCCCGTTGGTCGGAATCGTATATAAAAGCAGAAACATTCATCACTTCGCAGCATCATTCTACAGTCCACAAAATGTCTTCCACTTGGCTGAATCTGCTGGGCCTTCTGGTCGCCCTGTTCCTAGCCCTGGCCACAGGAGGAGAAGCCTCACCGTTCAATGAGAACCGCTTCCGAGCACGCACGCAGCCACGACAAGGATCCATGCCACAGATACCCACCACACCGCCATTCAATCCCTACGGATGAGGCAAACCAACGTTTAAATAAATCTGAATCTGAAGAATGCTTCAAGCATAAATTTCTGTATATCTTCTGCGCAGATCGAGGCAGTGATTGGGGCCAAGTGTGTCATTTATTAAGAGGGACAGAAGGGGGGACTAGCGGTTGGGTAGGGGTTTGGGGGTTGGGTGTTCCTATCTGCCAATCTCTGCTATCAAATCAGCCAACTTCCCACCCGCTGTGGCTGCCCCCAACGCTGCTTATCGTCCCACAGCCCCATAGTGTGCCCCGCACGGGGAAACTTGACAAATTAAGCGCACGGGCATTCCAAGGGAATTAAACAATTGGGAGGGAACTACTTGCACGGCTCTCACTATGTACGTATGTATATCGTCTCCGCTGACTCAGTTCGCAGGTAAATGAGAGCACAGCCATAGGAGGCCTCGTTTGAGTATCCCCAACCATCGCTTGCCTTGCTCCAGGCTCCAGGATACACGAATCCTGCTCAGTATGCCCAAGCCTTTGTGTCTCGTGTAATTTGAGACGGAGACCCCTCGTTGATGTCCATTGCTGTTGTCGCCACACAGCTGTTCGATTGATTTCATGCCACAGAGAACACACACAAAACGAGCCAAGGCAGACACAATCGAAGATCGTGTGACTTTTGGATACCCTTTCAGGCTTCGATTGTGATCCAAAGTATCTTGTGATATCTATCCCGTTGACCAGGCTTCTGCAGGGACATTCCTCTCATTCAGCATTCATTCAGAATACAAGAGATGCATGTGGTATCTGGAATGCCTGCCAAAGTTAAGGAACCCTAAGCGACACTCACTTCATGGTTGAAGAGCGCGAAAAGTAAGAAGTGGCGAAGCTTTCGACTGGCGTCAGCCACATGTCTCGTCCAATTTTCAACCCTATTTGGCTTTACGCTACGTGGCACAGTGCCCGTTCCCTCAGAGCCCCATTGAAGAGGAAGTTGCACGACTGGCTGCACTTTCACTCGCTGCTGAGGGGGCAGACGAGGCAGGCAGGCGGGAAGGCAGCCTTGCATAAAGCGTGTGCCGTGTGCCGTGCGTCATCTCTTCTTTATTGGATTATTATGAAACAAAACAAACAAAAAACGGAAACCGTGACATTTAGGAAGCGGCTGCTGCTGCATCGCAGGCCGCGCGCTCCTTGATGCGCTCCTCGATGAGCGGACGGAAGTGACGGATGAGGCCCTGCGGCGGCCAAGATGCCCCGTCGCCCAGGGCGCAAATGGTGTGGCCCTCGATCTGCTTGGTGATCTCCCACAGCATGTCGATCTCCCCGACGCTGGCCTGCCCGGTCACGAAGCGCTGCATGATCAGATTCACCCAGTGGAGGCCCTCGCGGCAGGGGGTGCACTGGCCGCAGCTCTCGTGCTTGTAGAAGGCGGCCAAACGGGCGATGGCCTTGATGATGTCCGTTTGCTTGTTCATCACTATGATGGCGCCGGTGCCCAGGGAGGAGCGCACGGCCATGAGGCCGTCGTAGTCGTGGATGGCCTTGCTGGCGTCCTCCTTGGGAATGCAGGGAGTGGACGAGCCGCCCGGGATAATGGCCAGCAGATTGTCCCATCCACCGATGACCCCGCCCGCATGGCGTTCGATTAGCTCACGCGTGGGCATCGACAACTCCTCCTCGACGGTGCAAGGCCGCTCCACGTGGCCGGAGATGTTGAAGAGCTTTGTGCCAGAGTTGCGGGTGCGGCCGAAGCTGGCGAACCAGTTGCCGCCGCGGCGACAGATCGTAGGAGCCACCGACACCGTCTCCACATTGGTCACCGTCGAGGGGCAGCCAAAGACCCCGATGTCCGCCGGGAAGGGGGGCTTATTGCGCGGCTTGCCCGCCTTCCCCTCAAGCGATTCGATGAGCGATGTCTCCTCGCCGCACACGTAGGCGCCCGCTCCCCGCTGGACATAGAGATCGAACTCGAAACCGGAACCGCAGGCGTTCGGCCCCAGGAAGCCCGCCTTGTAAGCCTCCAGGATGGCGTACTGCAGGTTGCAGGCCTCGTTGTAGAACTCCCCGCGGATGTAGATGTATCCGGTGTTGGCCCCCATCGCACGGCCCGCTATCAGGCAGCCCTCCACCAGCTTGTGCGGATCGTGGCGCAGGATCTCGCGGTCCTTGCAGGTGCCCGGCTCCCCCTCATCGGCGTTGACCAGCAAAAACTTGGGCCTTCCATCCGGTGGCTTATTCATGAACGACCACTTTAGGCCGCTCGGGAAGCCGGCACCGCCGCGGCCGCGCAGTCCCGAGGTCTTCATCTCGTTGATGATCCACAGATGACCCTTCCCTAGGATCTCCTTGGTCATGTACCAGTCGCCGCGCTTCATGGCGGCCTTCAGGCGCCAGTCGTGCCGGCCGTAAAGATTGGTAAAGATGCGATCAGCATCGGCCAGAGGGCCAAATGTTTTCTTTGTCTGTGGCGGCGGGGTGCCCGGTGGGAGTTTTCTGGGTGGAAGAGCTCTTGCCTTGCGAGGAGGTGTCCTTTTGGAGGGTCCATCTTTGGCTGGAGGAGGAGGAGGGCCTGCTGGACCCTTTGCTTTTTGTGCCACAGCAGGCCAATTCTGAGCCAAGCGTCCGCGCGACTCCCTCTCAACCTTCTTGGCCGCCTTCTGAAGCACCTCCTCCAGTCGGTCGTCTTCGGTCTCCAGCATCCTCTCGTTGACGGGAAACTTGCTTTTGGAATTCTTGTGCGACTCCACCGGGAAGTTGGCGAGGGGCTTCAATCTGCTGAAATCGAACTTCTTCTTCGTGTCATTGACGATTAGGTCTTCCTTCCGTTTTCCCTGGCGGCTGTCAAGTATTTCGAGCAGGCGGTTCGGTGGCTCCTCCTTCTCCTCCTCCACGGGGAATTTCGATGTCGCTGGAGCGACTTTCACGAATGGAAATTTCGATGCCTTTGGTCGCAGCTGCTGATCCACACTTTCTTTTGGTTTTTCGTTCAGCTTTCCGCTGGGGTTCCTGCCACCTTTGGACCCCTTTCCATCCGCCAGGGTTCTGATAAGAGAAATCTTGTAATTTTTGGACAGCTGCTGCCGTAGCAGCCCTAAGGGTATCATTTTCGAGATGCTATCTGTTCCGATTTGTGCCGATTAATAAATTGAGTTTATATTTTGATAAGCAAAAGCCAAGGGCAACTATGCCTGGCGTCAACGAGAGAAAAAACCCACTACGAATCGATTGCTCACAGATATAGCGTCATAGTCCTATGGTGATCTATTTATATCGTAAAAAACTTAAAGTAGCAAAAACTTAAAGTAAAAACCCGAAAGGCACCGTTTTCCAAGGTTTCTCCCACCGATGACAGTGCAGGCAGTGCGCCTAGGCCATAAAATGTTCGAGTATTTGTCTCAAATCTAATCAGACACTGTCGATAAAACAAAAAGAAACAAAAGGCAGGATGGGAAAAATAATTCCCCGCCACGAATGTAGACCAAGAGCCACCGACAGACCCTGGACTTTTCTATGGATAGATTCCACATTGGAATTATCATGGCTACGATCCCTTCTTTGGGATCATACAATATATAGCTCTAATATATGCTATGGATATACTGTTTTGGGCAGTTGTTGGGAAATGCTCAGAGCGTGATTTAAGTGCAGCGATGTGTAAAAAAAATGTGGACAAGATGCGAGAGTGGGGGGAAAAATAATAAATAACAAACAAACAAAATAAGGGGAAAGAAAAATTATGCCTCGTGCCCCAGTGTGAGTGTGTGTGATGTGAGCCGCAATGAAAGCAAATTAGTAATAATCACTTTTGTTATATCTAAACAGAAAATATATGGAAAAAAAAAGAGCTCAGATATGGCACAACGATACAGACAGACAGACGGACAGACATTCACACATTTTATTTGATGGGGGGGCCAGGCATAGTGCCGCAATTTGGTGAAAAATGAAAGTAGACAAAAGGAAGTGCTAAATTTAGCAATACTTCATTTCATATGCATATATATTCGTAGGTAATGGGAAAGAGTGTGAGGGAACCACTGGGAAATATGATTTAGAAACGCGCGCTGCTCTGAATGGATTTCGATACCAAGAACTCTCCCAAGCAAATAAAAAAACACACACAAAATAAGTACTCACGAAATAAATCCTTGCGAGCCAAGTTTCGAGCACACAATACTGTAAGACGGAAGAGGGGAATGTTTAGAGCCAACGATCGTTCATTTTGGTGCTGTGCAAAAAACTTACTCGTTATTCGAACTTTGTGTGTACCATTGCGACGTGGATAGTTATTCATAATTTCCGACTTTTAATTGGTATTGTTTTGCTTTTGTAAATATAGGTTCATTTATTTTGTATGCCGATTAATTATTTATACGACAATTAGACGGCGCCCAAGCAGCATGTTTGTTTCTCTGGTTGCTGCTGTTGGTGTTGGTAAAGGGATAGGGAGAAGGAGGAGGTGGTGGCGGTGGCGGAGGTGGACGTAGCAAGAAATATTTTCATTGCCGAAGGTAACTGCTGCTGCTGCTGCTGGCTCTCCCTCCGCTGCTGCCGTTCTTGTTGCTGTTTTTTTCGATAGCCTTGACGCTGGTTTTTGTTGTTGTTATTGTTGCAGCTGCAATTGCGGTTTTGTGTCATTGTATGCACTCACACATATGCATTCTAACAGCGATTTGTTAGTTATTACAAACTGCAATAGAAAGATATCGACAAAAAAAGGTTATTTTATCAATAAATTCGCGGTTACAAAACACTTTGATAGGGCCCTTCCGTCTCACTTCTTCTGCTCCAGCAAGGTGAGACAGGTAGGGGCAGAGTTTGCAGGTAGAAAAAAAAAATATATGCACGAGAACTCACCCGAAATTGTTTTGCTGTTTGCTGTTACCGTTGTTGCTGCTGCTGCTTTGAAAACAATTCACACGCACATGTCTCGCTCACACGCACACATCCATACACACTGACGCCCCTCTCTTGCTAGGCAAGGGAATCGAGGCTTAACTTTATTATGTGTTTCATAAATTGTATTAAATTAAATTCCACTAGGCGTTTAATTAACTTTAATTTAGCTGCTGCTCTTGTATGGGTGCGCCTCGCATTTGCATTCGTATTTGTACGGGCATGTGTGTGTGTTGCAAAAATTTGCAATAATAATCAATTGAGGCAAATTTGGTGGCTCGATTCACTTTAAATTTATTATAAACTACACACATGTGCTGTGCCTATATGTACACTCGTCTATATGTAGTGCGCTCTATTTCAGCACGATTGCAATAAATATTCTTTCGTTTTACGCACGGTGAGTGCGAGCGTGCAACGGAAGGGTGCCGACGACCGAGGGAGGTACGGAAGGGAGCAAAACCACGAGAATGTGTTTGAAAAGCGCGTGCTATGCTTCTGCAGCCATTCGTTATGGGTTTTCACTTTTTGATTAGTTAAACTACATTATTAACTGCCAGCTCAGTTGCTTTTGCGCACGTTTATAAACTAATGTATCGCAGAAATTAGTTCTACGAACGCCATTTTTATTGTTGGTGTGCTTCAGTGCTGGTAAACGTATTTCATTGGCCTTATTCAACACTTATCACCACTGTTACCAAATCGGCTGTTTTATAGCTAGTTCTTGGAATTTGTCTACATTCGAACACTGCTGTTATCCGGAGTTTGGACTACTTTAAATTGATCAAATCAATGCCTACAAACCCCATCTAATAACAAACTTTATGAAATACACAACATTTTGTTGTATAGTTGAGCTATATTTTAGCATCTTTTCTGCAAAAACTGATATTTTTTCTTGCGAAAAGATTGGTAGCCCTGATCACGCTCAAAATTTCCGTGCCGACTTACAACACTTGAAGTAAATGGTTTTTGGCGGCGATTGTGTTTTTATATTTTTTATTTAATCTCGTTTCCATAATGTCGATTACCTTGGATTTTAATGGAAAAAACTTGGCTAAAGGCAAGTCCCTGCATCTGCACTATTTGCCAGCTAAGATAAGTGGAGATGGGGAAGCAAATGTGGAGACCTACTTCAACAATTATACACGTGAAGCACCCGAGTACGGATCAGGAATGCTGAACAATGCCTTGCGCGGCTATCCTCTGGTGGGCGAGCGGATGAAAGTACCGGAAGGTTACAAGGGCCTAGTCCTGCAGGAGACGGAGAAGCCTTTGAGCGAGTCTACTGACCGTCAATTGCGCCTCACCGGTGTTTTTGACGAGTTCACATACTGGAACTACGATAAAGTCCCCTCAAACGGCGATCCCTTCAGACAAGCCATGCTTATGGCAGACGTGGCCAAGGCGGTAAGTACAGGAAGTTCCAGTGCGACAAATATAAGAGTAATGTCCTTTCTTCCAGCTGTCCGAACCCATAAGCGAGCAAGATTTGGAGGCAGAAATTAGACGAAACCTGGAAAGCAAAAAGGAAAACGATTCCTAGCTCTTTAGCGCGCTTACAGCGTTTATTATATAATATTCCAAAAGCTAATCAAATATAATCTTAACATTTCATACTTTTTAGTCTTAAATTTATATAAGATTTCAAATATAAATACGTTTAGTATCAGTGATGGTTTATTCATCGGCGTCCTCGAAGCGCTCATCGTCGTCGTCCAGGCTCAAGTTCTGCATGCCTCCTACTTCTCCCCCGTTCCGTCCAAGTGTTAGAGCATCGTCGGCCATATCCTGGTCTTCGAGGACCATTCCGCCAGCATCTTCCATGGCGTCGCTGTCCTCCGAATTGCTGTCAGCCGAGTCTGGATGCAAGGCCTGGCAAGTAGTCATTGCGCTATACATCGTATCGACTGTGTGTATATCCTCGGGCAACAGCCAGCACTCTGTAACTTCCTCAAACTGTTCGTCCACAGCATCCTCAAAGTTCTCATCGTCCTCATCGTGCTCGTCGCTGCCATTGCCCTCGTCAACGTCTGCCTCTGCCCCGCCACCGTTCTGACCATTGACGATTGCCGGCTGCGGATTTCCATACACGCCATTCCACTCCACTTTGTGGTCCAGCATGAAATAAATGCACTTCCTTGGGTTCGAAGAAATCCCATGAAGGCTCACTTGTTTCCACTCGATGGATATTCCCTCGGGTAGGTCAATTGGTTGCCAAGAGAGAGAACTAAGAGAGTCGAGACAATAACAATTGACGCCGGCATTTTGCACACCATTTTCGACTCACTTTTGAGCGATGTAAATCGTACCCTCACCCACAATATTGTCGCCCAGCTTGAGCTTGATATTGTTGGCTGTGTACAGCAGTCCATGCTCCGGCGGGGAAACTGGCGTTATTAATACCATTTTGATACGAAAATTTCAATTAAAAAATATTGTTAAAAAAAGCGTCTGGCAGCAAAATAGTGTGATTTGAGATATACGGTCTGACCGTCGGAAATATACCAAAATATACTGTCTCATTTAAAAAATGTACCATTAATATACTGACGGGTTCAAGCACTATTATACATATTCCTCGTTTTTGAACTTCCGTTTAATATTCGCAGCTATATAGAAAATTTAGCCATGCCCACATAATTTTATCCGATTAGTGAATCAATTTTTTATTTAACTGGATTATGCTAAATACTTGCTTTTATTGGATTTTTCGTAAAAAAAGGTTTTAGCGAAATAGGTCAAAACAAAAAAAACGAAAGAGTATAGTCGTTCATATTGCTAAATTTTGATATTCCGTTGAATAATTCTGGCTAACTAAAATTGTTAGTTTAGCCCACATAATTTTGAATCGTTGATGAATAAATTTTCTACTTGAATGGCTAGTTTTTAGACTTTGCTTTTATTGTATTTTGGCTAAAACAAGGTTTCAACAAAGTAGTCTTATTTTTTTACATGTTAACTACACATTCGGTACATATAAACTACATGTGTATGTAAAAACGTATACATATGTGCTCCGACGATTAATCACAATCGTTGCACATAATAAAATTTGTAATTTCGGGTTGTTTAAGAGATTTTACTAACTAATTTAAGCTGTAAATAAAGAAGCATTATTGTACAGCTTAGAGTTCTTCAACATGGACCTGGCGTTTTCGCACAAAATGTTCTTTGGACGCCAGTGACAACTCTGCTAGTTCAATATTTCAATTTTTGCAGCGCGTCTCGCCCAATTTTCCGCAATTAAATTCCACCAGCAAGGCCATCAACAAATATGCTGTCAAGCCACAAAACTTCTATGTTGTACTTTTAGAAAAGTAATATTTGTTAAAGTGAGCGTGTGAGTGCTGGGATTAGAATCTACGGAAGTCCTTTTCGTTGGTGCTGTGCTGTTGTTGTTTTTGTTGCTTTCGCTGCTTCTGTCGCCCTGTATACGCCCTTGCGTATAACAATGGACATGGAATACGCCAACATCAATGAATTTAATGACCGCGACCTAGCGACACGCATGCGCAACAGCAATTATGAAAAATACAAGTCTCTGGTGCGCATGCACCTCTCCTTCGAGCTGGAACTAAACACCGACGAGTAAGTTGCCACAGGCTGCCATCCCATCGAAATATAGTGCTTACCGATTTATGGGTTGCAGGTTCGACTTGCCGTGCCATGAAATCGTCTATGAAGATAAGGGCAAGATCAAGAAGTGGAATCGCCTCTCCAAGAAAAATCGCGGACCTGCAACAGGCTGCACGGCTGGGGCAGGCAGTAAGTCGGCGGGCAACAGTCCCACTGAAACGCTGCAGCAACAAATTGATGCAGGCTTTCTGATGCACCTGGAGGAGCTCAAAGTGTTTCTTATGCTGGAGAAGAGTAAGTGACAGGGAGAGTCCGGAAAAATGGATTATTCTAAATGCGGAAATGCTATTCTGCAGATCTCACCCAGGAGGGGCTCTTTCGCAAGACAGGAGCCGTTTCCAGGCAGAACGAGCTACGAATGCACATACAGCACGACCAGCCCTTGGATTTGGAATTGACAGGATTCTCGGCTCACGACTGTGCCACTGTTTTTAAGAGCTTTCTGGCCGAGCTGCCAGAGCCTTTGCTTACAGACGCCCACTATCCAGCACATCTTCAGATAGCGCCGCTTAGCCAGGCATTAATGGGGGGTCTGGTGGCGGCTACCGCAGAGCGCCAACGACATCTTCTCAACTCGGTGCAGCTGCTCCTTCTCCTGCTCCCCGAAGAGCATCGCGAGTTACTGCAGCACATTATTGAAATGCTCCATTCGGTGGCAGCGCGTGAGGAGAGCAACAAGATGTCCGCGGAGAATTTGGCCACCTTGTTTACACCGCACCTGATTTGCCCCAGGCAAATGCCGCCTGAGGTGCTCCACTATACGGCGAAGAAGATGTCCAGCATTGTGTCCTACATGATTCAGCAGGGTCTGGAAATCTTCGAAGTTCCCGGAAAGCTAGCCACCGATATTCGGGCGTACTTTCTTGAGCGCAAACGCAAAAAAACCATGTCACCGGAGCAAACCCTTGACGAATCCATCTCGGACGTCTCGACGGTCAACACGGTGTACACTTTTGTAGATCGTGCCGCCACGGCAGCGGCGAACAACAGCAATAACACGGACACTGCACTGGCGCAGCTGTACGCGCACATTCAGAGCCTCCCGGAGTCCTCCAAGAAGCGTCGCCTCATCAAGCAGTTTAACAAGCAAAACGGACAAGGTACTACATTGTCTCCACTGCGTTGCGTTCCTTTGGGACTCAGCTCATTAATTCCACTCGCTCGTTTCAGGCACACCGCTGCAGGTCGTTGTAATGAATCGTCTAAAAAACAACGAGGCCACTCGCAGTGCCAAGTCCTTGGGGGACTCCATCAAAAAGCACATCTTCCACAAGAGCCTCATGTCGCGCACCCCTAAGAGAGTGCCCCCCAGCTTTCATCCTGAGGTGAGCCGCAAGAGACGCATTTGCAAAGAATTTATTCCATTTATGCGTGTGTTTATTGGTGACTAACCGCATGTCTCTCCATCGTATCCTAGACGCCCAATCTGTCGCATGTAAAGCAGCCCAAGCTGCGTGTGCTGTTCCAGAGTCCCTGTCCACCGACACCCACCTCATCGAAGGGCACAAGCTCCACATCCACCGTCACCTCTACCTTCATTGCTACTAACTCCTTGCATCAGCTTCAGAAATCCATCTCATCCACATCGCTCAAGATTGAGTCCTCGTCCTCGGACAGCAGTTCCAGCTGTAGCATCTCTGCTCCCGCCAGTCGTCAGCAATCGAATGAGCTGACTGGAATGGTTTGTGCTGTCCAAGAAGAGCACGAGATAGACGCTAGTTGCTGTGTGACTCCTCTGAAGCTTATTTCAGCGGCTGCCAAGCAGCTGATCGACAAGAAGAGCGTGGCCTGGGACGACCATCGTCTGTTCGAGATTGAGAAGTACTCGAATCCCTCTACACCCGTGCAGCAGTCCACACGCTACAAATCGGAGCCTAACCTTTCGAGTATTCTGCCCCAGGTTCCAGACGAAGGAAACGTCGATGGCGACGAAGCTCTCACTCCGATTGTTGAAGTGTCCAGCTCAATGGCTGCCAGCAGCTGCAGCCACATGGGCAAGTTGATAACTCGCAAATTGATGAAGGGCGTGAGCATGGGCAATTTAAGATTCCCGTTCAGCACGCCGGAAACGACCAAACGATTGGTGCGCAGTGTTTCGGCCACCCTAAGAAGGCGTCCCAGTGGGGATGAGGGCAAGCACTTCCCGTCGGCAGCAGATGCTCCTCTTCTTGAGGACGTGGACGGTAGCGATGAAGATGACGATGAGGATGGGGAAGATGACGATACATTATCAGAGTCCAATGGCAGCTCCAATGAACTGCCTGCGATGACCGTGGGCTACCAGCAGATCCTCCAGAGCAGCGTGTATCGTAACATGGATCTCATAACGAGCACACCAGCTCTCCACATGGGCCGCCGTTCAATGTCGCCCATCACCAAATCGACGCAGCGCATGCCCAAGGCCATGCAGGTAGACGCAATAGCGACAGCAATAGATTCCCGTATGAAAGATCCTTTTTTGATACCTGATTTCATTGCAGGAGTCTATTATGACGCCACGCTCCCGCAAACCCGTTATGCTGCTCAATGCCTTGGCTGGCAATGGCGACAAGCAGCTTAACCTGAGCTTATCCGAGCAAGATGAACAGGACTCCCTGGCCGGGACCCCCGTGAAGCAGCGCGAACCACCCTCTCTCCATAGCGAGGACGCTACTTCACTTGGCGGCTATGCCGAGATATTGAGACATCAGCAGGGTTATGGCTTACTCAGCTCTAGACAGCGTACGTGCAGCAGCAGTAACAGCAATAGCAATGAGGAGTCCAAGCCTCCAAACGCTCTGTCCAGTGATTTCAAGTGAGTCGCAATGGCATTACTGGACTACCATTCTTATCTCGCACTCTAATTTCCTTCATCTTTAGGGAATATCTGCTTACACGCAGTGTGCTGACTGCCAGCCCGACGGATTTGTCGTTTGCCAGTCGCTCGGATGACTTCGGTGGAGCCAGCACCACCCAAGATATCGACGACTTCGATGAGGCCGAGCTGAGTCCCACTTTGCTGTACTGCTTGGATGGCAATGAACCTGCTGCAATGGTCTCGCCCTTGTGCAATGGCAATGTTAATGCCAGCGTCACAAACGGTCGCAAACGATCGGCCGTCACACCCCTTAAGTCTCAACTGATCACAGATGATGCGGACAACAAGGAGAACATGAATGTTCAGGAGGAGCACGTGCGCACCAAAAAGCTGCTTATTACTTCTTCCGAGGAGTATCCAGGCGAAACAGCCCTCTAGCCTTAAATAGTACTCGTAAATGTGTAGTTTTTCAAAATCCTAACGTTAAAACCGTTGTACGGTTTTAAAAAATCATCCCTCATCAAAATGTTCAAGAAAAATATTGCTTCCGTGAAATTGTTTTCGGTATGACACGTGTCCCGCTTTTTAACTGACCGCGTTTTGAAGTTAAGCTAAGAATATTACATTATAAATGCATGCCGCCTCAAAAACATTACATTACATATTAAAGAAAGTGTATATCACAACAGTTAAAGAATTGCACGGGTACTATCAGCGGGACTATGAGAAATCGCGAATTAATGGTCAAAAAGTATTCCCCATCAAACGCTGGAATTAGTGTGCCTGGCTGTTTGGAGTAGTACTAAACAGTTAAAACATCGGAAATTATGTTGTTGAATTATCAAGAATTATTCTTCAAATCGCAAGTTATAGCAAACGGGATGTTCTCAAAGAGCTCTTGGACACTGATGACCATAAGGAAACTGTATTACGCGACTTACTCTTTTTTTGTATGTGAAAAATTTGTATTTTATTGTGAACAAGTTTGCTGATACCTTTCGTGACAACTTAATCTAGTTTTACAGCGACTTATTCTATAAAACAATTCAATGCAGTTACTGTTGCATACTTTTAGACAGCAGTTCTGAAATTTCTCGTTTTCTTTTGGCCGTTGCCAAGGACGGTTTTTTCTCCCACCGGACTCTACCCAACACTGTCGGTACTGTCAAACAGCTGATGTTTGTTGACAACAATTTCTCGTCGAAAAGAAACAAAGTTTTGTTTGGAAAATTAAGTTTTACAAAAGATTTGTGCGTAAACAGCGACTAGGATAATGGGAACTTGGGTTCTAGAAGTAGCCAAGATGGGCATGTACATGGCATTTCCGGTGGCTCTGTTTCACATCTTCAACCAACCGGAATATTTCGAGGAGTGGGTGACCAAAAAGAAGCGCGAGCTGTATCCACCCGAGCACAAGAGTCATCGCGAGGAGCTCCAGCGTGCCATAAGGGAGCATCACGAGAAGCATGATGCCAAAATGATGCGCGCCATGGAGGAGGCAGAGCGTAAGAAGTAGAAATCCAAATGGATCACAGCACCCAGCCGTTTCGTTATATAACACCAATTCGATCATCCTGCAGCTATGCCATAAATGCGACTAAACTAAAACTGTAAACACTTTTGTATGCGACGTAATAAAGACTTGAATGTACCCAAAGCACTAATCCATTCTGAGGATATGATGAGTGGAAATTATCTGTAAATTATCGTCGAACCGTGGCTTTTGTGTATGTGCAGTGCCATACTTGAAACAAAACGGAATGCTATCTAGGGAAAAACACCTATATTGCATTAACACAAAACAAGGAACCGGGTGCACAGCGGATTCTCCCCAGTGGAACACTTGAAATGGTCAACCCATATCAAACGATAGACGCTTATCAGCAGGCCAGCCGCTCCACACCGCTGCCACCTGGTTGAATGTGTCCACTGCCCGTCCGATGCTCCTCCATACGAGTATACAAATTCAAATCCAAACGATCAACATCAATGAGGACGCCACTTTCCTGATAACTTGACCGCCATGTGACCGTTGGCATAGGAATTTTGTCACAGTTTAGAAACCTACCTACATGTGTTTTCGGCGTGATGAGTACAATGATGTGTGTTAAGAGCCAGATTAGATGCCCTCCAAGCGATTTACGCCCATTCAATTATTTTGGTAGGTAATGCTATTATCTACTTTCACACGATGCAATAAATAGAAAAATGCCCCGGAAATGAAGCCTCACGCCGAAGGTGAAATACTCTTGTAAGTAGAATTCTACATAGATATATTGGATGTCTAGAATTGGAAGAATCCTGCATGCATGTACTCCTAAAGTTAGATGACCAATAATCTGTATCTTTCAAACCATCTATATTTGGTACTTTTGTATGTATTAAAGCACGCTCCAGTACAAATTCGATACTGATTCAATCTGTGTGTAATAAATACCATTTTCGTAGCGTAGCAAGATGAAATATAAATTCCATAAGTTCCGCGCAAAAGTATAATCAGTAGCTCCAGATAGTCGACTGGCAGCGAACGGATTGTTATAGAGGCACTTGATTGTTCTTATAACAATAGGCGGGGTGTGTGTTTGGGGGTGGGTGGAGGTGGTGGTGGCATATCAGCAGTCATTTAATTAGCTGTTTCAGATTCCGATTGCTTTTTGGGGACTTTTGCTTACGTTAAAGCGCGCTTTCCACACCTCTGCCTCCGCCGCCGCTCTAAAGGGAAACTGTAGAATCTGATTTACGACTCTCTCCAACTTCAAGTATTTCCCCCTCTGCCAGCGTGCCAGTTGTACGCCAGCGTCGACGCTTTGGTTATCTCATGCAGGGCAATTTGTCAAGCCAAATAACGGTCTGCGTGTCAGTTTCAGTTCCATTTTTTGCATCACGGAGAACAGAACAGAACAGAACACAACATGTCCAAGGGATCGGTCCTACCACAGTATATAGCCGGTTTGTCGGCCAGCTTTGGCGCCATGTGTATGGGCGCCTCAATCGGCTGGTCCTCGCCGGTGGAGAAAATGATCACGGAGGAAACGGATTACGGCTTTGAGATATCCTCGGGCCAATTCGGCTGGATATCCGCACTGCTGACATTGGGCGCCACTGTCATCTGCATACCTGTTGGCTTCATGATTGATTGGATTGGCCGGAGGCCGACTATGCTGGCCCTCATACCGCCATACATGGTCGGCTGGGTCCTGATGCTCTTTGCCAAGAACGTGACAATGCTATACTTTGGCCGCTTCATCCTGGGCATGTGCGGCGGGGCATTCTGCGTGACTGCTCCCATGTACTGCACGGAGATCTCAACGACAGCCTTGCGCGGAACGATTGGCAGTTTCTTCCAGCTGCTGATCGTATCCGGAGTATTCTATGGGTACTTGGTGGGCGCGTTTGTCCCGCTTACCACGATCAACATTCTGTGTTCGATTCTTCCCCTGATCTTTGCCGCAGTGCACATCTTCATGCCGGAATCACCTGTGTACTTGGCAATGAAGGGACGCAACGAGGAAACCGCTAAAGCCCTCCAATGGTTACGCGGCAAGGATGCTGATATCAGCGAGGAACTGAAGGAGATCCTCGACGAGGCACAGAAACAGAATGATCAGCCTAAGGTCAATGTTCTGGCTGCTCTAAGACGTCCCGTCACCAGAAAGGGTCTGGGGATATCTGTTCTGCTACAGATCTTCCAGCAGTGGACCGGCATCAACGCCATTCTCTTCTACTCGACTTCCATATTCGAGGATGTAGGCTCAGGTCTCAGCGGCAGCAACAGCACAATCCTAATTGGAGTCACTCAAACAACCACAACGCTGGTGGCAGTGGCTATCATTGACAAGGCCGGTCGCCGTATTCTCCTGCTGATATCTGGCGTCTTCATGGCCATCACAACGTGCCTGATGGGGGTCTACTTTCAGATGAGTGAAAGCGATCCAGATTCGGTGGTCGGCCTTGGCTGGCTGCCCATCGTCAGTATTTGCATCTTTATTGTATTCTTCTCCATTGGATTTGGTCCCGTTCCCTGGCTGGTCATGGCCGAACTGTTCTCGGAGGATATCAAGAGTTTTGGTGGATCCATTGCTGGCACCAGCAACTGGCTCTCTGCATTTATGGTAACGCTCCTGTTCCCGATCCTGAAGGATTCGATTGGGCCGGGACCAACCTTTTGGATTTTCACGGCTATTGCTGTTTTGGCCTTCTTTTATGCCCTGTTCTTTGTTCCCGAGACCAAAGGCAAGACGATATTAGAGATTCAGGACATGCTGGCTGGAGGAAAGGTCCAAAAACCCGAAAAGAACGAGACGTAGCAGATCAAACATCTAAATGTGCGAATTGTTTAATGAATATATGTTAGTGTAAATTATCGATTTAACATTAAAATTTCCAGAAAAGTTAACATCGCCTTGCTGTTGTATTTTAAAATTGTTTATTTTTAAAACAAACTTTTAAATTTTCAAATTACTGCGAAGATATCGTTCATTGAATGATGTCGCGTATTTGGGAATATATTATATATATATAACTTATCGAACTGGATAGAACATCGAACTCCTTCCTTCATTTTAGCAGGTCGCCCCCTCCAATTTCCAGGAGGCTATTTTATTTTATTATTTTTATTATTATAATTTTTTTCCGTTGATCACCTGTTTAAATAAAATGGGATTAAGTGGGTAAAGTTCGTTTGTTCATCGGTATATTTACGGTAAAATTTTTAAGGTATTTTTGTCAATTTCATCAATCTATTAAATTTAATTTTCAACGGTATATAGAAATCAAATAAGAGCAAGTATATAGAATAGACCAATCAAGTATAAAATTGATTCACTAATCGGATAAAATTATGTGGGCATGACTAAATGTTTTATATAGACAGTAATATTCCACGGAATATCAAAATCGAGGAATATGTATAATGGAACTTGAATTCGTCAGTATATTTACGGTATATTTTTAAAATGAGACGGTATATTTTGGTATATTTCTGAGGGTCCGCGGTCCCTATTTATTATTATTATTATTTTTTTTTTTAACAATTTTATGTGAGTTTGGCCATTTTCTATTCGTTATGGAGAACTCCGCTGGCATCGGGGACCTGGCCAGCGTCTCGTTTGCCGACTTGGAGACAAAGACCTCGGGGGAGGATGGGCCCTGCTACGAGAGCTACGGGCAACAGCCCAAGCATGACATGACCCTGAATCTGTCCTTCGGACAAAAGGAGAACCTGTTTGCTGCCGATCAAACGCCCACACCCACGCGCCTCATCAAGAACTGCGACGAAGTGGGCCTCTTTGAGGACCTGCAGCATGTCAATCCCTTCGACATTGGATTCCAGCGTGCGGCAGAACAGAACGTGAGTGGCACGCCAAATCGTCCAGAAGCTCCACAGAATGATGGCGAGTCCCTGCACACGCCACAAGTCTATCCCCTGGAGACGGTTTCGGTTCACACTACTGCCCCGCCTCCCGTCCCGGTTGGAACGGTAATGCGAAGCGAGAGCTGTAGTTCGATAGATGTGGAGCAGCTGCTGGCCAGTGACACCACCACAGCTACGACAGCAGTCTGCGCTGAAGATCCGCTCCCCATACAGTTGATACAACCCCAAGTTATTGCTTGGGTACTGCCTGCACAGACGGTGCCCATGGCAACAGAACTCCCTAGTGGAAAACACCTTACCAGTTCCATTCCCAGGCAATCCGGACGCCCGTTCATACTTCCCAAGCCCAGCACAAGGCGCAATACCCCGGCCCCGTTGCTGGTGTCTAGCAATCCACCTGCTCCCGAGCCGAGCAGCGCTAGCCTGACGCCCACATCGCAGTTACCTATTAAAGAGCGCCTGAAGGCCATTATCCACAGCAACAACCAAAAGCGTATCTTCTCTGAACAGCCAAAAAGTGTAAGAGCAAAGCCGGATCGGGACGAGGATTGCATGGAGCGGCGTCGAGCGGCTGCCAGCCGCTACAGGAACAAGATGCGCAACGAGCAGAAGGACCTTCGGAAGCAAAACGCTCAATTGCAGCAGGAGAATCAGGATCTGCGCGAGAGGATAGCCAGGCTTGAGAAGGAACTGAATCAGCACAACAGCAGCATGGCTGGTGGTATTATTTGACATACTTTCCACTTAAATCCCTTGTAATTCTCGACTTTTCTTGCAGTTGTGGCAAATCAACTAAAAATTCCTCCATCGAGCATTCACCTGCTCATCAATGTCCCCAGTATGCTAGTGCCTTCGTCTGCACAAAATACTAGTGTGGATATAAAGTAACATGCACAGAATGCCTTTGCCCCTAAGATGCAACCTATCCCAGTGGGTTTGATTTTATGTAAATATTTATTTGTATGCTATGGTGCCATGATAATAATTCTAGCTTAGACATTATTTATTTGTACAATAAGGCCTTATTGCGCTTTCCTCTGAGAAGTATTGCTTTCAAGCTCCTGACCTATCAGTGCTTATTATGTCTGAGAACTCCCGCAGGATTTCCGTAATGGAGTTTTCGAAGGCCAAAAGCGGTGATATCATTTGCGATGATGAATCCGCAGGCTGAACTATTTCCATGGTCATCTGGAAGAAAGAGATCAATTAAACAGACAGAAGGAATAAGAAGAACAAACCTTGCGCAAGTTTTTCTGCAGATGGTCCCGCTCCTGGGACAGTTTTTGAATATTATCGTAGAACTTCTGGGACAAAGGAGCACCCTCGCACTCAGTGATGTAGCGCTGTGCCAAGAGGTCCATTTCCTGGTTGTGAATCTCGTCCTCGGCCAGCTGCATCTCTTGGTTGTGGCGTCGCCTCTCCCGCTCGATGGTATGCATAAGAAGGTCTATGTCCTTCTCCATTTCCATAACCTTGCGTCGCTGCTCGGACTCTTGCAGCTTTGCGATGACCTCACTCTTCCGCTTGCGAACCTCCATTTGGTATGTAATCAGCATTTTCCGCTGGCAGGTGAGCCGCTCCTGCTCTCGCTGGATGGTGTGCGCATAGAGTTCCTCCATTTTCTTTACGCGACGAGCGTGCTCCTCCTGCTTGAGCCCGTTTTCAAGACGCTCCATCATCTTGACCTCCTCCAGTTCTAGTTCTCTTATGCGTGCATCAATTTCCTGGTGGGACTTGATGATCTGATCCGTCTGTTCCTCTTGCTGCTCAATCCATTCGCTTGGATACTTCAGGAATTTGGGATATACGCCCTTGGGTATGGGAGTAAATCGTTGAATAAAGCGCTGAGGATGCAGGGTGGGATCACATTTGGCCGCCAGTTTGCGCGCTTTACAAAGAAGCTTGCACATATCAACCGGATTTTGATCGTGAAAAAATGCGACAATGGCCTGCTTGTCTGGCAGCCGAAGGATAATCTCTCGCTGTATCAGATTGTAGGCCACTACCAGGAATATTGGGAAAAAGGTTTGCTCTGTGACTATATTGTCCCATAAAATGAGCCACTGCTGCTCCTCTAGGACCTCAGCAAAGGCATTGCTGAGCATAGACCAGGCATACTCCTTTGGCGTCACCTCTAGGGACTTGTAGTACTTGCAAAGCATCTCGTCGCTGCGCTGTAGGAGATTCTCACACATGGCCAGATAGTTGGATGGGGGCAGGGGATGGAACTCGAACCACAATTGAAAATGGTTTAGAATGAGAGTCACAAGAACTTCAAAGGCCACCAGGCCGTTTTTGGGAAACTGTTTCACAAACGGGTAGATCAAATGCGGCATAAAGTTCGCATAGGCAATAACTTTGCACCACTGGGAAAGACAGCCCCAAACTTTTATAACTCCACGTCTATGTGCATCATTCTGGATTTGAAGATTTCTACCTTGATTTCTGACATTTTGCGGTGTACCCAGTTTAATGAGGGACTGGAACTGGCTTCCATTGCAAGGAATCTCCAGGAGAGACGTCCATATAAGAAACCGATATTTCTCCGGGTAGCAGCCGTATTCCTTGATCATGGCTTTCAGGCGATCGCGCTTAAGTAGATGTCGCACCTCTTGGTTCATGCAGCCGCTGACAGTGCAGGTGGGAAGAGGTGGCAGCTGTTTGATCGTGCACTTCAGTTTGCTGATGCAGTTTGTCTGGGCCTGCAGTGCATTGAAGAGGCTGCAAGTGGACCACACATTTACCTCGCCGCATTTAGAGATGATGCTGAGCAACTTTCCATCCCGACTCAAGCTTAAGCTGGTCGCATTCGAACGCTGCACAATCAACTTTTGATCCGTGTGGGCCAAGTCTAGCATCACAGCTTGATTCCTGCCTGTTATGCCGAATAAAATTCGCTCCTTGGGCTGCACAAGGAAAGCCATTGTCTTCAGAACGAAGTCAGACAGCCGGTAAATTTTCTCCAGATCAAAGGAAGCCGTGCTTAGCATGAGAAAATAGCTATCTAAGGTGCTTAAACACAGCTTGTTGCCATCGGGTGTGAAGCAATAGCCGAGCAAGAGACCATCGGCAAAGTCGTGGTCCTGACACTCGAACGCCAGCTCATGCTCAACATCACTGTCGATAGGGCCACGCAGAGTGATCTCTGGCACGGATTTTCCAGCGGACAGCAGCCTCAGTCTGCGATCTCTTGCCTTTATGGGCAGGGCTGACCGCAAGGTGCCCAAGGAGTGGGTAGACCAAACGTGCAGCGAATCGTTGGTGAAACACGTGAGAAACTGATCCGAGTTTGGCAGGTACCCAGCAAATTTCAATGTATAGCGCGACTCGTCAAACTCCAGCTGATGCGAAACCCGCAGTGTTTCGAGATTCACCAAGACTGCTTCGCGTCCAAAGCGCATGAGAGTCGTGTACTTACGAGAGCGTTTTAGGCTACTGCTCCAGCTGAGCTCCTCGATGGATCCACTGCAGACCTCGCCGCAGGTAGACACAATCGAGTTGTCTACATCGATAGTGTAAATTTGACCCAATTTATTGCCCACAATGTAGTCGTTCCTGTGCAGGGGCGACGGGCGGATCAGCTTTGCCTTGGGCATGCGGATACTGAGACGCCAATAGCGTTTTCTAACAAAATCAAAGACGAAGATGTTGCCGCTGAGGAAATAAAATCGCATTATAGCCAGGGATACTTTTCAAGCTCGTCCTGATCTTACCGCTTGTCAATGACCACCAATTTATTGCTCTGGTCACTGAAGCAGCATGCTGCAATCTGGATGCGCAGTAGCTGGCCATCCTCCTTCACCGTATGATGTACAGTGAGAATATTGCTTTAGTTGGAAAAACCAAAACTAAATTATACCCTCAATTTATGTCGTTGATCTATAACTTACCCAGATTCATCGTGCTTAAGTTTGAATGAATACTTGCGCATTGGAGCATCGTCGGAAGGCATGCTCGGCAAAATGTTAAGCTTCGAGGGGATCATTTCGTCTTCTGTATCCAGATCCTGGCTACTCGTTTCCAATTGCAAGTCGTCCTCAAATTCATCGTTTTCGCTTTGCTCTTCGCCTTCGTCCTCGTTTGGTTGCTTCTCCATATTTTTCTCCAAAAACTTAGGTCCTCTCAGAGTAGTAGGGCCTTTGTACTCTGGATTTTTATTCACCAATACGAATCTATTCATTTAAAAATTAATTAAGTGACGTCGTCCTGTGAACGCCGTCGTCCCTCAGAAATATACCCAAATATACCATAACATTTTTAAAATATACCGTAAATATACCGATGCAAACAACAAACTTAACCCACTTAGCATCACTTTATTTAAAAAATTGAACTTGATTTAAATTTTTTAAAACAGTTTGTAAATTATTCTTTTAGATCCATCATATCTTTCCTGTTTATTTAAAAGGAAACCACGATATTTTTCAAGCTTCATAATTTTCAATGGAGTATTTAAATACCATCCTGGTCTACGATGGGTTAATCGTTCTCTGTCCATGATCGGAAACCATATTCCTCGATTTTGATATTCGGTTGAAAATTACTAGCTTAATACCACCCTCAGTCTTAAATTCATAATTTTATTCGATTGATGAATCAATTTTCTAATTTTAATGACTCTTTTTTATTGTATTGTTTATTACTTAACGTTTAAGCAAAGAAGGTCGACAGAAATGTATAGTTTTTAAATGGAACCTATGTACATATTATATATACTTCCTTTAATTAATGCTAAAATTCTATTTTCCATGCTGTTTTGAAACCTTATTAATAATGACTTTTACAGAGAATTATGTTATCTTATGCCTTATGTATTTATAACTCAATCCCGATACCTTGGTCTTCTTGGTCAATCTATGGAAGAAGACCATAATCTGCAATATTTCGTTGAGATAGCTTTCAAGCAGAGACTGACTTGTTTCTGAATTCATTGCAGCCTAAGATGACAAACGTTTCATCAATTTTTTTAATATCCTTTTTCCCCCATGAGTATTATGCATTATACAGAATTTTTTCCATACAAATCTATGGAATGAAAACTCATTGTTTTCATATAAATTAAATAAATATACCATATACATGTACCGTTTACCTTCAACTCAATTTCGACGCCAAATTTCAACTACTTGTTTATTTTGAGTGCCGTTTATGTTATGTTGAATACACTTGGTTATATATGAGATTGGTTGATGTCTGCAAGGAAGTGTGCAGAATGCGTGCTTACTAGTAAAATGCGTTTAGTTCACAGCCTCCGCCTAGAACATGCTTCCATATTGTTCCTCATCGTGCATGGCATAGCCGAAAATGGTCGCATAATTGATAACATTGCTAATTAATGTCAATGTGCACGCTGTCCAAGTGATCTATCCAGGAGATAATGGGGAATATGAATATCCTTTATCTATTCAGCAACTGTAAGTTACAGTTACTCACCACTGCCGAGTGGGCTAGAACGATGGGCAAGGCAAAGGCACTCAGTACCATACCAGCCGTGAGGAACAGGGCAAACTCTGTCTTTGGATTTGTCTCATTTACCGGCGTTGTTCGCTTGGCTATGAAAACTGGCAGTACCGACAGTGCGTAGAACAGCAGGACAAAGAACGGGTAGAATATCTTTGGTGTGGGCACCGCACAGGCCAAGATTAGAAAGGTCATTCCCAGGCATGTGAGAAATGCGCAGATAATCAACCTGAAAGGTACCATCAAAAGTTAGTTCAAGCAGCAGGGGGTGGGTGCCTCAGTCTTACGCTGTATTGTGTTTTCCGAGACAGTGCCCGTCCAATAAGAAAGCAGTCACGTGCAGAAATCGCATGGAAGGAGAGATAATTGAATTTCGAATTATTGGCCATGGTCTTTACTATGCTTAATTACCTTTTAAAGTAGCCATTGTTTGTAATGTTTTTTGTTTATAATTTTTTTTCTCTTTGTCGTTGCCGTGACTCAGTTATAGAATATACCGTCCGACCCTCAGAAATATACCACCATATACCGACTCATCTTAAAAATATACCGTAAATATACTGACGAATTCAAGTTCTATTATACATATTCCTCGTTTTTGATATTCCTCCGAATATTATTAGCTATATAGAACATTAAGCCATGCCCACATAGTTTTAGACGATTGATGAATCAATTTTCTACTTAACTGGTTTATTCTTAATACATGCTTTTATTGGATCTTGTCTAAAAAAATGGTTTTAGCGAAATAGGTCAAACAAAACAAAAGAAAGAGGATATTCGTTCATATTGCTCAATTTTGATATTCCGTCGAATAATGCCGGCCAACTAAAACCCTTAGTTCTGCCTACATAATTTAAGGCCATTGATGAATACATTTTCTACCTGATTGACTACTTTTAAGTACTCTCTTTTATTTTATAGTGTAGAAAGCAAGGTTTAAGCAAAAAACGGTCAACAAAAAAACAGTGGCAACGTAAGTGAGTGTGAAATGTCACGTCAACCGGAGTTTGGGCACAGGTATACCCTATTTCGTTGATATATATGAAGGAACTGTTTTTCCAAGCTGTTTTAAAACGTAATTAATATAGAAATGATCTCAGATTGTTATGTTTTGGACATATGATTAGGGTCTTCTAAATATATCTCGATCCCGATACCCATTCTGGTTTCTGCAAGAAGACCAAAACCTTCAAAATATCGTTGAAATACATTTAAAACAGAAACTGACTAGTTTTGGCCTTTATTGGTGCATTAGATGATAAACATTTTCTCAGTTCTATAACATTTCCCATTTCCCAGGGTATGCAAAATGTTGCTCAATCCGCGCAATGTTGTGGAACAATGCTGCTCGATTTCACGGCACATGAGTCTGGCCCATACAAATTGAATGTTGCCAGCAGCATACACGTAGGAAAACGTAAGTGAGTATTGAATGCGCCGTAAGGGACATTGTTGAGGGGAAAAAGGACATTGTGGCGAGGAAAAATCCCAGAGAAAATCCCAAAAAAGTCCCACCAAACTTGAGCGCCAAATAGAAATTGTTTGACTGTGAATCATCGATGTTTTTTCTCAAACATCGATGTTTTTAGATTTCATTAGATTTATCGATGCTGTTATCGACGATTATTTTGTCCTTTTTGAAAAATACCAAAAAATACTTGAAATATTCCTAGTTTTTGATCTTCCGTCGAATATTACCATCTATATAGAACATTTAGCACATTGCTTTTAGTGGATTTTGCGTAAAAAAAGGTTTTAGCAAAAAAGGTCAAACAAATAGGATGTGATGGCACTTCTTCGATAGAAGTATCGATAGTTAGAGCACTTAAAATCCAAAGTGTGTGTGTTAAAGGCTGGCTGCTATGAAATTTGGAGCCAAGTTTGAATATTTAAGATATCTCTGTGCGAGTTTCTGAGCGAACAAATATTCAAAGAAACCTACCTGCTACGGGAGTATCATCTGCATTTGCCCACCAAGGCTTCACGTTTAAGTTTCGATCTCGGCTGAGAAAATAAATTGAGAATTATCCAAAATCGGTCTCCGATCTTAGCCGAAGTTTTGGACCCCAGAATTGCGTGTTATGTAACCTCTCTCTATCCCAACAGCTTTTGACATTCAGTATTTCCGCCTCAAAATTGCGTATCGTATCGGACGCTGCCGCATGGCATCCACCGTCCCAAGTGCCTCGGAGTCTTTCCCGCACGTAGAAGCAATCATCATATGTGTGGAGGGGAGAAAACAACGAAAACATTTTTGGCAGTCAAGAAAACCCCATAATTTAAAATTTGGTATCTTTTAAATTAGATTTCTCATTGCGGGAAGCAGCAGACACACAACAGAAAACAGATAGCAGACAGCAGAAAACACGCAAAATGTTTTCGAGTCGGTCGCATTTTGGGAAACATGCACGCAACGGGCAATTTTCTAAAACTCGGCCCCACAAAAAGCCGCAAACTCGTCTTGTGGGTCAAGTTCAGTGTTCAAATCGTTCACAACTTCACTTCCCAGGCGACAAGATGGTGGAACCCGACTCCGATTCCGTCTCCGACTCCCATCCTCATCCAGCAGTCGAGTGGAGAAGGAAGAGCAAGAAGATGCACAGCATGAAAATTAAGAAAAAGTGATGCGTAATTACAGTCATTCTCTTTCACTGCAGCCAAACGGGCTATTCCACATAGCCATGGTCGTCGGTCTCATCCAAGTTGCATGCAACAGACGCGCGTTTTTCGGACGGAGCGGAGGCTGCTCTTCAATGGTCCATGGCTGTGACTGGGATTGGGACTGGGACTGGGACTGGGTTTGGACTTGGGTCTTAGTCTGGGTCTGGGTCTGGGTCTGGGTGATGCTGCCGGTAGAAACAATCAGTTTGAAGTTCGTTCGCATAATTATGGGCAATTTTCAAAGAACATGCGTTCCGATGAACATCTCTCTCTTGCTCGCATTCAAAGTATCCTGCCCCTCCTGCTGCACCCCTACGTCCTGCTGCTGAATCGCCATTTTTCTTATTGTCTGTTGCCCCTTTTTTTTGTGGTTAGGCTTAAGCGGATTGGATCGGTCTGTCAAAAGCAAACCTCTGCCGATACGAGTCTAGTTCGGTTCAGTTAGTCATTTGCTCTGCAACATTTGCAGCATCATCCACCATAGATACGGAAGATATGGCAGAAGAGGAGGCATTCTCGTAGATCAATCTTTGTTAATGAACAGACTGTACAAATGACCAACTGGCCAATAGGTTGACCGCCTTCGTACGAGGCTTCAGAAGAGACCATCATTCCTCGCATAACGGCACATGCTAGGAGTCTACAGGACACAGGATGGTGCTGATCGCCGGGACTGATGACGGTGGATCCCCCTTAGCGTTTCATAAATATTCAAAAATTCCCCCAGTCCAGTTGGTTTCAAGAACGCCCAACATTTGTTTAACTTTTCTCTGTTGCATTTTGGACAGAACATTTTGTTTGTTTGCCATTTGCCACTGCCACTGCCCCTGCCACTGCCCCAGCGGCAGTTTTGCATATAAATTATGGCTACTGCCTCATTTCGGGCCCTCTCGAGGGAGGACTTTAACAAGAGAGGTAAACGACCAACTAAATTTTATTTATTTTCACTTGGTATCTCAATTTTATCATCGAATATGAAAATCGAAAGGTGATCATGCAACATTTTTTGGAGTTGTGTTTGTTGTATGCCACTTCCATGGCCCGAGGGTGAACAAAACTTCCTGTGCCGCAACCGAATGATT